CATAAAGAAATCTTTAGATCAGTATTGCTTTTAATTCAACGTCTTCTTTTTTTTTTTGGTTCAACTTATTCTCGAAGCAGCTAGAAGGCAATGCAAAGGATATTGACTTGGGAGTAGGATGTAGGTAGGTGGGACACAGTTTCCCATTGCCTCCTCATGGAAGGGGTCCTAAAGCCCACACAGAGTGACACATTTGCCAGACAAATGGAGAACAGTATATTGAATCAGCTGAATTGTGTAACCTCAGCCACCTCAGTGCACAGAGAGACAACTTGAGAATGCTGGCAGGACAGTAAGTAAATCTTCTCTTCCACCTGTATGGCACTTGGATCTAATGAGTGAGATCTAAGCCTTGCAAACCCTGTTGTGCCTGCAACATTCCCCTGCCTTTCTGCAGTGGCTAGGAGTTCACACTTGATGTCAAAAAGCTTCACTGGCAGCTGGGGAGGGGCAGAGGACTCAACACAAGAAATAACACCCAGAAAGGATGGTGGTGTGTCACAGGATCTGTTCAAGGCTTGAGGAATGTGAGGAGGTAAGGTTGGAGAGGAAGCCAGGAGCCAATGGTGTGCACTTCCTAGGGGTAAACACACTGCATCCTGGGAGTCAGATAAGAGGTGGCTGGGCCACGAGTGTTTCTAGATGCCTTGGACCTGAGCTGTTCAATCAGGACCCAAGGTTATTAATTGTACAGGTTGGATAAAGAGCTTGTACAAAGGCAATCAGAGAAGAGAGAGATGGGAATCCAAGTGGAGATGAGGCCAGTGAGGTGGAAGGCCCACAACATGAAAAGGCCTTCTGTGTTAAGCTGAGGTTTTTTTGCTCCTGTCTTGTTGCTAAGTGCCGTCGAGTCGTTTCTGACTCACAGCGATCGTGTATGTTTCCAAGGAGCAGCTGATGGGTTTGAACCACCAACCTTGTGATTAAGCAGTCCAGTGCTGATCTCGCAGCATCACACCAGGACTTGGCCCTTTGTTGCTGTTGGTGTTTAGTGCCAGGTAGTGACTGGTGGGTTTGAACCGTGGCCCTTGTGGTTAGCAGTCCAGGGGTTTTCCTGCAATGCCACACCAGGCCTCAGGAAGACGAGGAAAGGCAAATCCAATCCTGACATCCACCTGCAAACTTAAACCCAGAGTCAGCCCTAGGCCTGGGGTCCCTTATCCCTCTCAGGGGACAGGGTAGTTGAGAACATAGAGGAGTTGGCATATGTAAGTGTAGCACTTTAGGAGAAGGAAGGCTGGAAAGGAAAAGCAGAAACAAACTGTCAAGATTTGACATGACTGAGTAATGGATCCAGTAATGATTATAACATTTATCACTATTGTTATTGATTTGTTATATGCTCCCCCACTTTGAGATAATTTAAAAAAAAAAAAAAAAAGATGAAAACTGTCAAGTGGAAACGTAAACACATGTAATCTTTCTACAAAGCTATTTGACATATCCAAAACCAAACTCCTAAAAAAATGCTTATTCTTGATACAGTAATTCCACACCAGGACAAGCAGACAAAGATTTATATACAACAAATGTATTTGCTGGTGTTCCTCAGAAAGTGATGACACCTTTACTCATCTGAGTGAGGGAGTGCGGGGAAAGGCAGGGGAGAGCTCTGCTAACTAAGTTGTTGTTGTTGTTAAGTGCCGTCAAGTCAGTTCTGACCCATAGCGACCCTGTATAGGGTTTCCAAGGAGTGACTGGTGAGCTTGAACCACCGACTTTGCAGTTCAAACGGCTTTGCAGTCTGGCGCATTAACCCACAGGGCCACACCAGGATAGCTTCCTAAATAAACATTTTAATAGTTTAAAACTATTTTAATGGTAGTCATCCCCCAAATATATTGTACCTATCCTCGCACAAGCAGCTGAGTAGTCCAGACAACCTTGATGGATTTTTTTAAATACAATGAACCATCCAAGTGCATGTTAATAGAGTCATTCATCCCGAAAATGGTACAGATAATAGTGGACTTCATGCCTCTCCACTCTGCTTGTGTTCCACATCCTGTGTCTCTGCCTCTCTCGGTTTCTTTTTCTTTTTGCTTTCTAGCAGGCCATCATTTCTTACTATTCTTAACCTGAATTCTCACTAGAGATCTTACATTCACCATCCAATCAGAAAGCACCAGGTAACCTAGGTTGTAAAGTGTGTTAAATTACATCTCAGTGAATGCATGCAAGTATGTCTCCAACCCTTGAGAGAATGTGTATAAAATAATCTTTGTGGGTCCCATCTCGTCCCCTCCTAATACAAATCTCTGGGCCTGTAAACAGTTAAGTTCATTCTTAAGAACATTACAGTTTGAAAAACAGAAACATATGGATTTTTCTCTCAGAAAAAGATTCCATGAGTCAAGGCCACGTGATACCAATACTCAGGTGGTCCCTGGTGCAGTTGAGCAGCTGCCCTGGTCAGAATTAGTTGTTCAGGAATTAGCTGATGGGTTGGCTCCCATGCTTGGGGTTAAATATTCAGAATACCGCATGGATCTGATGACCTTTAACATTTTTACCTTGGATCATGAAGTGAGAGACTAAGTATACTGGGAGAGATTACCTGCCTTGAGTTTCTGGTAAGTGGCATGGGATAAATGTGATCTCCCTGGATACAGACGTGGGAGAAATGATGTACTAGGTACTCGTGTTTTCCATATATGAGACTGTTTTCCTAGACTCTTAATGGACCTTCACGAACAAAATAAGATGGCCCATTTTACAGAGATAAACATACTGTTCCTTTTTATCATCATCATCATAATTATTACATATCCTTTTTGGACTGATCTAATA